GGGAAGAATCCTGAGGCAGCTTCCCTTGTGACTTGGTGACATACAAGAGTAGCACTGGATATACATATCTCTGTCAGGACTTTTTGTTGCCTAAAGGCAATTAAAATTTGCTTTAAAGCTATGGTAATTCTGGACCAGTACATAAACTATGTAGAGGGCAAGCAGGCTGCACTGTAGCAGCTGGATACAAACCCATTCCTGAGGGAAAAAAGAAATATAATTCACTGTTCCATCTCTCGTGAGTGCCTTTAGTGACTGTAAATAGTCTGCAATAAGTCTGCATAAGCCACGCTGTCTAGGGCAGCTGATGGAAGTCTTTTGATGGGTTTAGGCTGGTCTCATTTGGCTGCTGAACTGCAGTGTCTGAAGTTTTCAAATTCAATCATTGCTGCTGCCACGCTGATTAATTTTGATGCAATTTCCCTCCCAGTAGCTCTGCAGCAGCACTGAAGGACTGGGCAGGTGCAGCACAAAGCTTCAGTTCACAGTTCCTGTCATCTTAGAAACTTTAAGACCAGTATAGACCCTTTTTCTCCTTTGCATTTTCAGTCCTTTGGGTGTAAGATCAGAAGGAAAACTGCCCCTTGGCTGCATCCATAGAAACTACCAGGTCAGAGCAGGGCAAGATTTTTCTCAAAAGGAAAATTACCCAATCCTAAAGCCAAAATGGTAAAAACCTGAATAAAAATGGGACTTCTGTTCAGAGCTGCTGTTTAGCACTTGATTTCAGTGTCTGATGGATTGATTAATATACTGTTAGTCACTCAGGCTTGAACATTGGTGCCCATGACACATTGCTAATGTCTGATAATGAGGAGGAAAAGCCTTTGCAATCATTCTGTGCACCTGGTGCCACAGCCTCGGCCACGACATGTGCCTTAACTCAATGAAGCATAAGCCTGGAATAATAACCTCCTTCATGGAAAAATATGCTCAATTAGCTGCTCAAAAATGTGAATGAGGATGGACAGTTTTCAGTTTCGGTCTCTTAAGTAAGGATTTACTGGCTGAGATCTGAGTCCTTCACGTGTGTCTGCATGGTGATTGCTCTTTCTATTTTTTTCCATTACTCAAACTGTTTGGGGAAGTTTTGAGCCCTTTTAAGGAGAGTGCTGGAAGTTTCCAAGGGAAAGATGAAAACTCTGTTAGAAGTAAATGTTTTTTCTCTTAGTTTCCTATTGCTTGATGTGATATAGTACTATAAGTACATCAAAGATCCAGGACCAGTGTGGCTTGTCACTCCCTATTTTATTTTCAAGGTTTCTCTTAGGAGTTTCCTGAATAGAAAATGGAAGGAATGGAAAGCCAGATTGTTGCTATTTGAGTCCAAAGCCTGTCTTACTGTTGTGCTTATTCAGCTCCTGCTACTGGGAGATATGGGGAGAAATTGGATGTTTCCTCGTTCTCCATAGAAGGATCTGACACAAACTCCTCTACAGTTGTCTGATTATGGAATTGTTGCCCTGTTTGTTTTATAAGGATGTTTTTCAAACCCATCCTGCCCTTTGTCAAAGGTTGATCAATGTGGGTTTCCACCTGTGTGGAGAGAAGAATATCTGGGTTTTTTTTGTTTGGCATCAACTTCTAATTGGGAGCTAACATCTAGTACTGGAAGTGCTTTGGGATACCAGGTAAAGAAAGCTGTAAGGCTTTGCTTGGGAACACTGAGAAGCATAGATGGTAAATAAATCTTTATTTCTGAGACTGTTCACAGTTTTGTGTTGTACCATAGTGTCAGTAGAAGCACAGAACAGCACCACCTGGTTTATACATTCAATTTTCTTGCATGGAGAGATTTGGCTTTGTTTAATAGGCCACTGGCAGAGGAAAAAGGGAGCCCCAGAGTACAGGAAAACTGTAGGAATATGGTAAAACTTGCTAATAGTTGATGAGAAGAGCCAGAGCAGTTGTGGCTGACCAGTGTGTGAGGGCACAAGAGGGTGCTGTGCACTCAGCAGATCGCAGGCCAAAGCCCTAATTTAGCAGTACAGGTTACTGTCACTGACTGCTGCAAACCAAAGACCTAAAAAAGTAAAGCTTTAATATCTTATTAGATAGAAAGCTTTGCAGAATCTCCTCCCTGCTAGCCAAAACTGCACAGAATGTTTGGCAAGTGAATGAAGCTTCAGAAAGATTCCAGAGAATTTCTGTGCCATGAGGGAAACAGATGAGGCACTGAAATAAGGAGAAGCTAAAAGAGCTGTACGGGCAAAATGAAGCAGGGAATGTTATACAGAGAAAGATGGGTCAGGAAGAAAGTCTCTGAAATCAAAGACAGCATAGGAAGGTGTCAGACCATGGCAGGCACTGCAGCTGGGCTTGTGTAGCAGAAGATCAGAGCTGTTACACATTGGCAGTGAAACCCTGCCTGGATGCTGTGGGAGCAAGGCTGGTGCTTGACAAACCTAGGGGATACCTATCCCAAAATATCCAGAGCCTGATAGTAATCCCTAGTCTCCTGCCAACCCCTTCACAAACATCCCAGGCAGCAAAGCTCCACAGATTCTGCGTGGAGATTGCAAACTGTATATGGCTGTGCAGAACACGCTGTGAAGGTGATGTTGCTCACAGGGTGTATCAGGTAAGGAATACAGGTGAGCAGCTGAGCAAAAGGAAGGTCTATTCCATGCAGAAAGGAGTGGTAGTTTTAGCAAGGACTGGTGGAATTCTTAGGGAACCTGAATCCTCTTCCCAGCCCTGCCACTATCATGTTCTTGGATCCTTCACAAATTGTGCCTTATTGTCTGCAGTCTCCCATCTGTGAATCAAGGATATTAACACTGAGGCGTCTTGGAAATGAAAATGTCAGAGCTTGAATCTGTACATTTGATACAAAAAGGGGAGATCTGCATAGGAGGAGCCATAGGGACCCTTAAGTCCTGTGAATAAATAATTTCTCTTAAAAGAGACCTGAATCTCTCCCTATAAAGTCACATTAATAAAGGCATCAAATCAGTTCTGCTTTCCTGTGTTAGGAGCAGCTTTGTCTCTGACTGAAAGCCTTAGTTGAATTAGGGGCAGAAAAACAGTAGATTACAGCAGGAGCAATTATTTTTAAGATACAGCCTTAAAAGTTTAAAAAGCAACACTTTTGCATGAGAAATACCAGTTGCAGTTACTTGTTGATGCTGATTCATTGAACCTGACCACAGGAGTTATTTTGCATGGTTAGGATTTTTTTAATCAGAGTTAGCCTGTCAAACTTCCACTTCCTCTGTAATTTAAAGGTAAATATTTTAAATAATCATCTCAGGAATTTATTTGGGCTTTGCCCTGATGATTTATAGAGGCAGCTGTGCCTGTTTCATTCTGGGTGGTGTTTAAAAAGTGATTCAAGACAGGAAAGATATCTGGAGCAGGATGTGTGTTTGTGGCAGGGACCTAGAGGCTGTCTCAAGGGGATTTAGCTAAAAGACCTATGGGTTAGAAGCAAGGTATGCTGCAGAATGTGAGAGAGGTGTTCAAAGGTATGTTCATTTCCTAACAGCAGTGCAGAGACATGAAGAGGTTGGAAGGGACCTCTGGAAATCAGCTAGTCCCTGCTCAAGCAGAGGCAGAGCAGGTTACCCAATGCTGTCCCCAGTTGGGTTTTGTGGGTTCTCCATCTGTGGAGATATTCAACCTTTCTGGCCAACCTGAGCACCTGACAGTAAGAGAAGTGTTTCCTTGTGTTCAGATGTTTTTTAAGCTGTGCCCATCTCCTCTTTTTCTGTCGGTGTTGCTATTGAGAACAGTCTGACTCCCTCTTCATTCCCTCCCAGCAGTTCAGCGTTTCTACATATGTTCTACATATGTGATCCTGGTTTCATTGTTTGAGTTCAGGTATCCTGGAGGATAAGCTGTCTTAGAAGGAAACTTATGTACCCTGTCCTGCATGAAAGATACTCTGAATTCAGTGCTGAAATAGGACCATAAATTGAGATCCCTGGCCTCTCATTGACCTAGGAAGGAGCTTTCCAAAGGTGTTTCAGGTCGTGTCCCTTTAGGACACCCCCCCCAAATACCACCTGTCTAGAAAAATCTTCCATAGGTGTGACCTCAGCACTCCTGTCCTGTTTGTCTGCTTACACACCATACATAAAGAGGGAGGGATGGAGTTAAAAGCTGTGTGCAGCTGGCTCAGGACTTGCCTTTCAGGGTGTGGGTTTGGGGATGGCAGACAAACACAGATGCCTTGTTGCAAAATCATCTCTGCTGTCCCACAGGAGACAGGCAGATTGGCTGTCAGATATTCCAACCCCCTGAAAATGAAGAAAATCTGTTCAGTTTTAACTAGCTGAAGATTTGATCCACGATTTGCACTTTTAGGTGGCTCAACAGACATTACTAGTGCTACAGTAGAAATTAGCTGTTTGAGTCATTAAAAAAGGTAGGGAAAAAAGCTCATTTTTGAGACGGTATTCCTTGTTGCTGCAGCAGGTTGTACTTGTTGGTTAAAAGACACTGAATCACATTTAGCTTATGTGAAGGTGCTTGTTCTAACAGCTGAGGCATCCAGAAACAGCACAAATCAGTGCTCCTTGTCTACAGGCTCCCCCCGTGCTGCTCCTCTGCTCCCCATTTTGCAGAGGAAAGGGAGAACAATCCTTCACAGCCATCCAGGATGTTTCCTGACATTCTCTTGCATTTCTATAGGTATTGGTCACCTTGATGTAGGCTCCTGCTAAGAAACAGTAAGTGATCTCGTAAGGCTTTTTTACCTGAAGGGCTTCTAAAGCATAAGCTGTTGCTGTCAGAGTCACAGGATCAGGTGTGATTTCCCCTTTGCTGGAATATCCAGCAAATATGCAAACAGGCTCTCAGCTTTTTTTAGCTCACAAAAGCAAGGGAGTCCTTTGAAAGATCCTCCGTGTACCCAATCATTGCTTTCCCTCACCCTGTGCAGCATCATAATATTCTGGCAGTGTAAATCCTCACATTTGCCTCCCTCCCTCTCTCCTCCAGTCACTCTCCCTCCCCCTCCCAGACTGCTGCTATCGGATCTGTGATGATATGTGATCTCCTGGATACAATCACACACACACACACACAAGTACCAGGCACTCCTGCTCAGCTGAGCAAAATGTCTTTCTCCTAGAAGTGGTGCTCATCACAGCGTTCAGATCCTTGACGATGTTGCCATGCTTTCCTTTCTGCCTCCTGCCTTTTGCTGGCTTTGCCTGCCTGCTTTTCCTACCCGGGGGTCATCTCTGCCCTGCTGTCTGTAGCTGTATGGACTACCACACCATAGATTGCCGGGATCAAGGACTCCCAAGTGTTCCTAATCCCTTTCCATTGGATGTACGGAAACTTCTTATAGCTGATAACAACATTCAGGCGATACCAGCTGATTTCTTTATATTTTATGGAGATCTAGTCTATTTGGACTTCAGGAATAACTCCCTCACCTCTTTAGAAGAGGGCACTTTTAGCAGTTCTACCAAACTGGTGTATTTAGACTTAAGCTACAATAATTTAACACAGCTTGATGCTGGGATATTCAAAGCAGCAGAGAAACTGATAAAGCTGAGCCTTGGAAACAATAACCTGGTGGATGTGGATGAGGCTGCTTTTGAGAACCTGGAACAGCTCCAAGTGTTAGAATTGAATGACAATAACTTACAAAGCCTAAACGTGGCAGCCCTGGAAGCTCTGCCCTCCCTGCGGACTATACGCTTGGAGGGCAACCCTTGGGTCTGTGACTGTGACTTTGCCAATCTTTTCAGCTGGATACAGGACAATGCATCCAAGCTCCAGAAAGGTAAAGCTCTGTGGCTTTCAGTGCAGTCTGTGTGTCTCTGTGTGTGTCTCGGAGGGTTCCTGGGCAGATTGGCTGTGTGCTGCCTGCAGTGACCCGAGCTGCAGTTTGGGCAGGCTGTAATTGCATGCTTTCAACAAACGAGCCCATTAAATTGATGTTGGCTTCTTCTTAGCAGCAGGTCCTCCTCCCAGTCAAGAAATAAAATTTACAAATTAAGCCCTAATAATTTTGATTTATAGACTAAACTTACATAGGCAGTGAAAGAGCCTTTTCAAATTCATTCAGCCCAGAGCTGGTTCTCTTCCAGACATCATTTTCTCCCTGGTAAATATATTTTCTACAATAAGCCCTTTGAGCAGCTAAAGATCCTGTGCCAGCTCCTTAGGAAAACTGATTTTTCTCTTTTTTTTTTTTTTTAGCTATAAAGCTGCTACAAAAGATTTACATCTCCATTTTATGCAATGTGATTTTTCAGCCCTTTCCTGGAAGTATTTCATAGTGATACTCTGTGTTTGGAACTCTTAGTAGCTTGATTTTGGCTCTTCTCAATAAATAGCTCTGCTTGTAATATCAGAAATAAATTGAAATGGCTCTGGAGCCCCCCAAAATGCAGCATATATAATTCTGGTATTTCAGCCAGCAATATTTAGAAAAGCATGGAGGGGAGTGGAATAAAATTGCTGTGTTTAGGGAATCCAGACTCTTGCTCCACATGTCCCACCAGATCCCAAAGCCTCTCTTAATCCAGCTTTAGCAGGAGATCATCTCACAGTTCATGCCTCCCAACAAGCACCAGGGCATAAAGTCCTGCCACTGAGCACAGCTGCTCCCAAAGGTAGCCAGCTGGGAGCAGGGAAACTTCTGGAGGCTACAGAGGGTACACAGGCACTGCCTGGCATGGACCCACTGGTGTCTGGGCTGTGTCTCAGGAGGGTCTGTGCACAGAGCTAAAAGCTTGGGGGAGAACAGCTCAGGAGAATGGGATAAGGTCAAGTAACTGTTTCTTTAAAGTCAGACCAAAGAGAAGAAAACCACAGTGAGCCTACAAGTTTTGGAGGGGTCTCCTCTCCTTTCTTGATCAGAGAATCACAGAATCCAAACTGGTTTGGGTTGGAGGGATCTAAAAGTTCATCTCTTTCCACCCCCTGCTATGGGCAGGGACACCTTCCACTGGCCCAGGTTGCTCCAAGCCCCATCCAACCTGGCCTGGAACACTTCCAGGGATGGAGCAGCCACAGCTGCTCTGGGCAACCTGTGCCAGTGCCTCAGCACCTCCCAGGGAAGGATTTTTTCCTAATACCCAACCTACACCCTACTCTCTTTCAGTTTGAGGCCATTCCCCTGTGTCCTGTCACTACAGGCTCAGTCTGTAGTCAGTTATTCAGGTTCTTCCTATGCACATGACCTTGGGTAGCATTTTTTGAATATACTCATCTAGGTTGCCCTAAATATTCTTAGCTGTAAAGAGCTGTTTGAAGGAAGAAGTAATTAGAGGGAAAACGTGTTGGGTTTTTTCCTGTCTGCCTCAGTGAAACTTTCATCTTGGCTCTTGCTATACCAAACCTGGGCCTGTTTCTCCACCTTTACTGATGTTTCCACTGAAGTTTCCTTTATCTGAATCAAGCATTTGCCTGTCTCTCATGCTAAACATCAGATCAAACATCAGTTCACTTTCCCCATACTTTTAAGGAACTTCTAGGTTGTTTCCCTTGATCCAGACTGAGTCTGCTCAGTTTGGGTCTGTCCCACCTCTCTTTCTCTGCTGCCCTGTCAGTGTTTAAAGGATATCTGAATTTATGGGTGGAAATCTCAAGTGCCTGAGCTTTCCTACAGCTTTGCCAGTGTTCTCCCATGTCTTCCAAGCTTAGAGATGCTTTCCCACAGCATTTTCTCTCATTCACAGTTGTGTTTTGACCAAATAGCTACAGACTTACTGGTTTCTCCAGATCTTCCAAACTTTAAGTCAGATTTGATTTGGGAAGACAAGGAGGGAAGGAGCAAATATTCAAATGGTTGGTTTGACCAGAGCTGTCCCCCAGGGATTTGCATTTGCTCCCTGGAGCAAATCCCCTGCTCTCTTGGCACCCTGCATGTCACTGAGAGATGTGCATGGATGCAGAAAAGCATCCACAGTCAGCGTTTTCAGGGCTTCTTGTGAGCTGCTGCCACAGAAATCCTGCCTGTCTCCTTTAATAAACTGCCAAAACATTCTACACCAAGGTGAGGGCAAAACCAAACCAAAAAGGAAAGGCTGTCTGAGTGACATTTTATAATGCATGGCCAGAGTTGAGTGCTTTGCAAAACAACTTCTGGAAAGTCAGAGTGAAATTGTTAGAATTATGATTTGATTGCATTTTACATCCAGTTTTCAGGTTTTAATGACGTTACATCATGATGCCTATTAGGAACTGATTAAATTAGTGTTACTTGTCTGGTTGTGCTTATCCAAATCCATGCTCCCCTGGCCTCTCCTGGGAGGGGTGGGAAGAGCAACTGCTCCCCTGGCCTCTCCTGGGAGGGGTGAGCAGAGCAACTCACTGAAGACTGAGCATTCAGACTCTCTGGCTCCTCCTGATGCTGCTGTGAGGCTGGAGACAGATCCCTGCAGCCAACACGCAGGATAAGTAGGGCAGCAGGCGTTATGTCTGGACATAGAGCAGAAGGAAAGGATAGGGATGACTTTTCAGGGCCCAAGAAAAGAGCTTGGCTGCTTCTGCCTTGGAATTCTGCAGCAGCTCAAGCATTTGTGTTGCATGGGCTGTGCACATGGCTGGGACAAGGCCGTTGGCAGACAGATTTATGTTCTGAGCATTCATTTTGGTACTTCACTTTGAATGACACTTGAAATAGTTTAATGTGCTTGTCTGCATGTCTGAGGGAAGTCACTTGGTAAACTGTCAACTATTTACTGAGCCCAACCACTGCTCCACCTTTCACTGCAGGGACGTGGCACATCAGGCCATTGACTCCTGCAGAAGAAATACCAAGTTGATTTAAGAATGGGAGATTTGTCACTGTCAACTGAAACCTCAGTAACTGATCCTGAAGCTCTCTCCCTCTGTAATTAAGGCCTTTGGAGGACTCAGTGATCTGAACAAAAGCCATACTTCAGCTCATTAGTTTCACTGCAGCCAGGTCCCTTTTCTTCTCGGCACACAGCCAGAAATAGCTTGTAAAGCTCTAACTTCTGCTGACCTGTCTGCCCAGCTGCCTGGAAAGGCTCTGCCCAGCAGAGCTGCCTCTGCACATCTCACTTGTCACTTCACAGAGCAGCTGGGATGTGAATAATTGTCCAGGTCCCAGCATTTATCCATCCAACCCAAACTGTAAATAAAGGCTTCATTGGCACTAGGTGAGTACTCACAGGGCAGGTTTGCAGGCAGACATTAAAGAAACTGCACTAAAAGTTCTGTGATTACACTTAACACTTTCAAACAGCAAAACGTAATTTTTTTGCCTATAGAGACGTTAAACTCAACATTTCCATCATACTCCAAAAGCAAACTACATTTTCCCCCCTCTGATTTGGTTAGGAATAGATTAAAAACAAATTAGTGAGCATAGTGCAAAGGAGGCAAAGGAGCTGTGGAGATAAGTGGAGAAAATAGAACAGATCTTTTTCATGGGGAAGACAAAGTGTTCACTATTGGTCACAATGGTTAAGCCTAACACTTGTACAGATTTTCTGTAGAAGGATGTTTGACTCTATAGGCAGTAGTTACACCTGAATGGCAGTGTGGTGTCCAAGGATTCATGTTAAAGGCTTCCCATCAGGAGAACCATGGAGATCAAGAATATTGGATCATTTTTTGGCAATAGAAAAGTTTCTGTAAGGTCTCTGTCCCTACAAAGATAGTTGTAAAAACTGGTATGGAAGGTTTTGCTTCAGGGAGGACATGCAAACTCTCAGAGCAAAAAATGTCTGGAAAGAACAAACGTCTGAGTTGGTTTTAAACATATTATTAGAAAGAATCAAGGAAATCCTGTGTCTTGAGGTGTAGCCTGTCATGTTCTATCCTCTGCTTGCCTGTCTTTGATTCATCTTCTTGAGTCTTACAAAAAATGATTGACAAGACTCAAGTGCTCTGAAGTGGAACTGAAGAAAGCAGAGGAGGAAGAAGAGAGTTTGTTTGGTCTCTGACAGAAGAAATTAAGAAGATTTAGTATTAAAAGCAAGAGAAGTACTGAATAAAAGGATGGATGGCTATAGGTTGGGTTAAATAACTTTGGGGCATAACATTTCAAGTTTAAGGAAGAAAATGTCATTCATTCTCTTGAGATCAAGAGTCACCTTTGAGATTCCTTTGGTTTTTTGCTTCATTGGGATCTGGAAAACCTACAGAATACACTTGGAACGCTCTTATGTTTGGAAGGGCTTTCTCTGCTTGCAGAACTTGTTGTGTATTGCATTTATCTTGGCTAAAAATGCAGTTTTCTCTCTTGCCTCCTCTCTTAACCCATTTCTTTCAAACCCAGGGCTCGTCCAGTGAAAGGTTGTCACTGGTTCATGTGACCTACAGAACTGAGGTTAGGAACCTTCCATTTCAGTAGTTAAAATTTCATTTCAGAGTTTAAATACAAAGGGCTTTGATGGAATAAATTCTGGTGACAGGTGTTGTTTAAAATCAGTGCAAAAGACATTTCTTGGACGCTTCTGAGGATCTCAACTCGATGAAGGGATTGGATTCAGAAAAAATGCAGGTACCAAAGCAATATGAGTAGTCTGCAATGACCACAGCAAAGGGCTGTGGAGATCCCTGTGGTTTTATCCACTGTGAACATGCTTTGGGCAGTTGGGCCTGTGACCTTGTTGGTTAATGACTAATGCTTTTTTAACATTACTTTTAATTAGAGTATCAGTATTCCTTGGAGTGTGACTGTAGTGTCTCCTTTCTGTCCCCTTGCCCTCCTTTTGCTTTTGGCTTTTTTCTTCTCAGTATCTTTGGAAAGTTGTGTAGTGTTTTGGGGACTGCAAGAAACAATCAGTGTCTGTTTTTCTG